ATTTATCTTTAAAATGACCTCATTTAGTAGCCTGATTTTTAAAGAACCAACAAGTAGGCATGATGAGGCTATTTTTGGCAGGTCCAACACATGCAGAGGGTGGGTTGCCTCTTTGGAAATGTTAGGGCTGTGTTCACAGCACAAGCCTTGGCTGACATTGTAGTGATGGAGGTGTGCAGAGATATGATTTCAACTAACATGTCCATCTCATCAGAAAGCCTACAGTAAATGCAGATCTAAGGACAAAGTTAAACTTTACCAAATGCACTATGTCTTATGGGAAATGTTTTTGCTTTAGCAGAACATAGAGCCTTGAGAGCTACTTTTGTGCCTACTTGGAGCATTTAGTTGGCACTATACGCTGATTTTTCTGGTGTTGAACTCCCAGTGCACACATGGCTTGATTCCCCTTAGATGCCAGGGAGCTGAAGGGCTCAATGTAGGGCTTTCAACTCCTCAGTCTTTATAGAACATTCATCTTCTAACACCAAATTCAAAAAATTCTCTGTGGGAGAATTTACCAGTCTTATTATGGATGTTTTCCTTTCTTGTTTTTGAATAATTTTTTTATTATTCAGTTTTGTCACAGAGTAGAATCTCTTTTAATGAAGTAATGAACATTAAGGACTGTTTAAAGGGAAATTGCACAGGGAACTTGCTTCATATGTACGCAAAATAATACCACAATGTGGTTCCCTGTCCAGCACCAAAAATACGCTATAGAAGTGGGAAATTTCAAGATACGCAGTCATGTAGTCTTAGCTCAAGGGCTGACATTAGTACCACAGCTTTTTATTAAAGGAAATGTTTATTTCAAAATAGTGTTACCATTATAAAATAATACCAATGTTTCCTGCTCTGATCTGATAAAATATTGCCTTCCTTTGATTAAGATACAGTAGTAGATTGTACCCTTTGAGTCATACTGGTGTATTAGCTACCAATCCAGCCTAGCATGTTGTGATGTTAGTTGCTTGAGCTAAATGCTACAGGTTGCTTTCTTCCACTCACTGTTCATCCTTCTAGCTGTTTGTTTTCTGTTCTTATGCAGCTGCTGTTTCTCCAATATCTGTTTGACTGTCCCATGATTTGAACATTTAAATGAGGATGTGTGGTGTCTTAGGAAGTGTGATACGTGTTTGGTTTTACCATATATGTGCAAACACTTAGTGTTTTGCTTTTGGCATGCAAGGCAAGTACCATGGAACTGAGCAGTTTATGGAATATGTTGTTGGATAGTCTTGGCATTAAAAACTAAAACTTTTTTTAGGATAGATGTCTGACTTCTTTCTTGAGGGGATTGTAAAGTGTTGGTTGGTTGCTTGCTTGCTTGGTCTCATATTTTAATGAACTCAAAGTTGCAGTGATTCTCCAGAGAGATTCATGGACAGGAGGATCTTTTCCCCTCCAGATGCACAACTTCCAAGTTTTTTATTTTTTTTCTCTGCTTTCTTCTTGCTTTCCTGTGAAATATTGGGAGTTAGATGAGTATTGGGTAACACAGCCTAATGCTTTACTTGTATTGAGAGGCCTCAGGCAATGGGATGTCCTGCTCATGTGTAGTGAAAGGGTTGGGTGCAATAGATGGTTCCTTTGAGTCCTGGACTCCAGCAGGCAGAGGAACCCAAAAAAAAGGGTGGTCACGTTCCACAGAGTTACTTAATTTTAAAGTATGTTATTGAGAATATTTAACATGTTCAGAATAAAGGCTGGCACCTTAAGTGTAATATGGCGGTGTCTGGACAGACTGTAGGAACACAGATCACTGAAGTAATTTAGTGACTTGAATCACAAGTGCACTGTTTACCTGTCTGTATTATCTGCAGCTGTTTTTATAAGTGATATTTTTAGTCCCCCCAAAAATATGTGGTCATGAATTTGTCATTTTAATGGGTTTTTTTGAAGAACTTGAATGAAGAAACACACACCACCACAGTTAGTAAGTGTAGTGAGTCATTCAGAATAAAATAGAATGTTATTTCTGCAAATTTAATCCCACAGAACTTCCATTGACAACAGCAAGTGCTTTTTGCAGAAGTAGCATTTACCTTTCTGACCCTCTGTTCTTGCATTTTAGTACTATTTTTTCTCTACTTTGTGCATATATTTACTAATGTTAAATATTTTATTTTAATCTGCATCTACTAGTCATCCTTTTAGACTTAAAGTGTTTCTCTTATGAGAAGTACTTGCCCCTGATTTTTTTCTTCTCTACCAGTAATTTTTACATCTCTGAGTTTATTTTTTTAAGGATATTGTTTCTACATGTCATGGTTTTTTTCTGTGCAAAACCAATCTGATCACTTCATATGATGTAGAATGTTCCCATCTGGTTTGCTGTGTTTCTGTTTCACTGCAAATATTGACATTTACCATGGTCTTCGAAATGAGGATACAATTGTCGTAGACATTGAGTGCATTGGCTTTTTTCATGTCCTGTGTCACTGGGTCCCTTTTTTCACCAGACAGTGAGCCCATGTTTTCTGTAACCATCCTTTTGTTGTCCCTTACTTTGTCAGCCATATTCCAGTATTCATATATGGATAACATCTCTGACAGACCCGCTGTGGATAAACAGCATCCCCATATAGATATTCTAAAACAAGGCATACGTAATACATTGAAAATTCTGAAGGCAACAGAAAATATTAATGGAAATCTTCAAAGTACACAATTATATAAAGAAAGTTGAGGGCAAAAGTTTAAAACTAATTGGAATAAATTTTCACACAGTGGATTCATCTGGATAAATGAGTTTCACATAGTATTTTAAAGGGCACTAGTTTTGACATTTTTAAAAAAGATACCTGAATGGATATTTGTGTAATAACTATTTATATTAGATGTAAAGTCTGTCTAAAAAACAAACACTTATGTCTTTAGGAGCATACCTTTGTGGTGCCTACAAACTTAGTGTTTTAGGAGGAAAGGTCCATCACTAGGTTTCCTCTAGAGTCTTGGGTACTGAGCAGTGTCAGACACTAGACTTTGAATTACACGGATCACTACCCTGAACTGGGATGTTGCTTATTGTGGTCTCTGCTGGTATTAATGGTGAATATTAACATTTAAGGAACCTGTCAACATGCTCTAATCTCTTTTTAAAATGAACTCGCAGGCTTGGGAAATTCCAGTTTGTACTTTCCCATCTTATGATTGAGTGCACTCTTGCATGTGAAGTCTCTGTGTCTGAGTCACTGTTTATCACAGGAGCAATTAAACCTGAAAAGCATGCCACAGTTTTGGTATTCTCTCAGGTCATTTGGTCAGAGTAGAAAGAAATAATTTAAAATAACTTTTCTAAGAAGAGAAAATATGTTTTTTCTTCATTTTTCTTTTATTGTCACTTAGAAAACCTGATTTATTCAGTTAATATTGTCTACAATAAAATAACTTCTGATGAAGAATTATTTTTGCATGTGGCTCTCTTATAGCCTTTCAACTCCTACATTTATTTCAAGAATGTGTTGTGTGGGTTTGTAGAGGTGTGTTTTGTTTATATAAGAAGGATTATGTGCAAAATTGAACATTTTTCAGTAGTTCCTGAGTTAGCATTCTGTGTACGTTCAAGTGCATCTGACTGAGTGTCAAATGGATGGTACTAAAAATGCATGTATAATTTAACTGCATTTAAGTCTTCAGAAGCTTTTCAGTAAGCTGAACTTCAAATATAACAAACAAAATTATAGCAAAATTATTTTAAGCCACAGCCCATTAAAAAAGTAAAAATAATATTTGAGGGTGGGGGTTTTTTTCTTATCTGTAGGTGTTGCATTTGACAGTTATTCAGGAAATGTAAGTTTTAATATTCAATCCGTCATTTCATATATATTCCTCCTATCAGTATTTCCTCTGGAAGGGAAATGTATTTTTGAGTGAACACTTCTAATTATTTAGGTCCTGGTTTTTGCCGTTTGCAGAATTCCCACTGGGTACAAAAAGATCCCTTTCATGTAAAGGCCCACAGAAACTGCAATTCTTGAAAGTTTTGATAAGCACTGAAAAATTACCCCATGGAACATCCCACACCTGTGGGACACAGGACAGCACAGAGCTATGGTTGAGGGTTCAGCTGGGGCAGATGTGCACTTTGCTGATGGCCTCCCCTACCTGCTGTCTGCATCTGGCTGCCTGAAGGTCCCGCCATCACAGCTCCGCCAGTGGAGCAAGTTGTGTCTGCCTGAAGTGAGCTTTGTTCCTTCCCCTTCTCCATCCCAGGAAGTCTTTTTCTCTTAGAATCTCCCATATTCATGCCTTTGGGTGTTTTATGGTAAGGAACATGAGTTTTATATCTGGGTGTCTGAATGAAGTGCGCTAGTTAGTGTTCACAAGATCAGTCTAGGCATCTGGTCATTGCAAAAAGTGCTTGAAGTCTGAAAGTATATAAAACTCCCTCCAATGATGGTTTAGAAACTTAATAAACCTCTTGTGTTGTGATTAAGATGAGGACTCTAAAGGAAGTTTTATTTGTTGGGCCATGTAAGTCACTGGCAAAGGGAAGTTAAATCAATCTGTCAATATTCCCATCTGGGATACTGCAGTCTATTGGCAATCCTCTAATACCTTAAGCCTGGGTAAATAACAGGACCTTAGGTTAATAACTGAAGTGGTTTCCTTAACCTTTTGGGAAAGGTATAGTCCTTACCATTTGCCCATTTGAATCATAGATGTTTTATTCTGATGCAGGAGATTACCGCTGTTCTTATTGTGTGCTGTGTTTTATAGAAACAATCTACTGTTAGACTAAATATGTTGCCTTCTCTTCTGCCTTCAGTCCTAAACGTTTTGAAATAAAATACTCTTTGTCACGTGTTCTTATTTGCTAATGCATTCCTTGAATGCCACAAGGTATCTAATTGTTGATTCCCAAGGAAGACCTTTGTTTGCAAGGTGGTATTACATTTTGATTGTTGTGTACTTAAGAATTAACTGCTTTTGATTGTTTGACACTACTGTGGCTAGTATCATTCTTAAAACCATCTGTATCTTTCTTTTTGCAGCTTGAGTCCTGTGTTTGCACTGTTTGTTCCATTTTATTCCTCCATTCCAAGAGTGCAGGTGACACAAGTATTAGGCCACTTTTCTATCACAAACAAGTCTCTGGTCTACATACTGGGTTTACAGGTATCGTGTCTACTTGCTCGTTCATCTTTTAATGAACTACTAATGTAGTAGTTAGTATTTCTGTGTGTTTGTCTATGAATTTTGATGCTTCTGCATGTATGATTTGACATATATTTAGTTACTAACTATCCCATCATCTAAAATACAGAAAAACATGTTACTAGTGTCCTGAGGTGGTGGGCAAGTGATCTGTCCTTACATTGTCTTACATGGGAAAATGTAATAGGCAATTCTTCAATTGTTGGGTTTTTTTTGGTCAGCAAAATGAACTAGGAGAAAAGAGATTAAGACAGAACCTGATGTAAGGCATATGTATCTTTCACCTTTTTTGTTTGCTTGTGTTCTTGATTTTGATTATTTTTCCCTTTTTTATTAGAACTCAAACAAAGCTGTAGAACACAGTATTTTTCTGTGGTGAGACTGTTAGTAAATAATCAAGGTTTTGGCTGAATTTCACTTTATTTGCATATCATGCATTACCATGCGACAGGTAATTTAAAGTAGTGTAACATAGAGCACAGCAATATCATATAGTACTCTGTGAAATATGACTGGAAAAATATAGATACTTGGTATAGAAAGGCAGTAGTTGTTCAAAAACCAATTAAAAAATCCCCAGCAGCCTAGAAATGAAGGGACACTTGTGACACAACCTGAATTATGAAGCAGGAGATGTGCAAACTTATGAGAAATTAGGCTAGTTTTTATGTATTCTGGGGAATCAAAAGTAGCTCTGGCACTAGGAATGGAAAGCACTATAGTTATGTGAAGTGTGGTAGAGAGTATTTTAGAATGAATGGTCAGGTTCAGAATACTGACTTGTATTCCATATGAATGTTTCATTCATCCTCTGCTGTTTAGCCTTTCGTTTCCTTCAGTTTCTGCTCCAGCACCTTACTCTCTTGATCTTTCAGAAATCTTGTTTCTATTCTTCTGAACCCATCAATACCGCTACCAGTCTTTGGGAAAGCCATGATATTGTCTGACCTCTTTTCCATTGTGTCCTTTGCCTTTTGCTTTCATACACACACCACCTCCAGTACAGATCACTGCTGTTACTAACCCCCATATCTTTGCAGGATCTTTGCTGCTCACAGAACAGTCGCTGCCTTCACACAGAGGCTGAGGGAAGTCTCATTTGCCTTCTCCTCATTTGTAAACTCTGCCCTTATCTCTCTTTCTGTAGTCAGAAGTCTTAGAGGGAAGGTGTTCGCTTGATTCAGTCAGCATCATGCAGAACTATTTTAGTAACCAGTATCAGTCCAATTTTCAGCCCATTTTTCCAGTTGATAATAACCTTCTCTAGGTGATCAGTTACATAGTTTCCTAGAAACAATGCGCTGCCCTGTTGGCTTATCAGGATTTTTTTTAAAAATTCACTCCAGTTTATTTCTGTGATTTCATGTCAGCAAGTATGTGACTGGGTGAGAACTTTATTTTTTTTATTTTGGTGCTCACGCTTAGTCTCTCTGTGTCTGCATGTCTGAGAGCTTCACTTGCAGTGCCTGCCCTGCTTGGAACTCTTCTCCTGTTGCTGCTGAGTCATTTCCGTTGCTTCAGTCTGTCTTTTAGACTTGTTTTTCTGTGCAGCCTATAACTGACATCCTGTTATACTTAGTAAGCTATATGAAAATAAAATGTATTGTCCTGTAGAAGGAGAACAATTGTTGGATCCTGTGTTTTTTTCCCCTTTGCTACGTTTGGAATACATCTTTTTTTAATGTTAAACTGAATTTTAACAGAGGTAAATGTCTGACATCTCCCATTCCCATAATATATACAATATTACAGCTTAGTAGTTCTGATAGCAACAGCTTTGTAGAATAAAAATTTTAATCCCTACTCTTGTCTTCTAGCTCTTAACCTCTGGTTCCTACATCTGGATTTTAGCCTTAAGTGGATTGGTAAGTCTTACTGTTTTAAAAATCATGTCTTGCTTAAAACGGTCTGTTATGTATGCAGTCAGCACAGTATTTTGGGACTCAAAAAGAACAGAAACTACTAAGTAACATTTTGTATTGGTAAGTAGAAAGTTTTCATCTTTAACTTTCAAAGGTGCAGAGCACTGACTAGCTGGTGGTAAACTGACAGACAACAAAATTGCTGGGTAATATTTGCAGGGTGCCACTGCTCTCTGACTGTCTAAAATTAATTTAGCTGCCATGGATGTAGCTTTAGACCCACAACTATAAATGAGGCTATTGAGGAAATGGTAAAAATATTTACCCCCCTTTTTTTTTTTAGTTTTCAGCAAGCCTTATTCCAAAAAGCAGCTTTAAATAACTTTGCTGTGAGGATTTTTCATGCTTTGCTGTTCTCCTAGGAGATCTGTAGTATAGCTGTTTCTCACTATGACAACAGCAGTAAGGGTGCAAAATCACTTTCTTCACACCAGTCAAGGAGGTGTGATCTGTGTTTTTCCTTTCTGATTCTGTTCTTAGTACTAAGGCACTTAGTGCTAAAACAGATTGTACTAAATTTTCCAGATTGTTAGATACTGATAAGCTTCTTTTAAAATTATACAAACTTAGAAATTAGGAACTCAGACTCTAATTACTTGGCCCAAAAGACTGTAACCTTTTCCAACAGCGAGAGTTAGTAACTTCCAAAGAAGCTCATTATTAAGTTGATGGAATCTTAAGAACTCAAGTTGGGCTTTGCTGTTTAGAACCTACTAATTTGAATTTTCAGTGAGCTCAGAGTGAAATGCCTGTGGACACTTCACATATTGTTGCTGCAACTCAGTAGTTTGATCCCTTACCATTTGCACTGACTGTTGCAAAATATGCTGTGAGTTTGCGGGATTACTAACAAGAGGAGTGACAGAGCAGTAAACAGTGAAGTCTGTTCAGTAGTTTGATCTGACAATAAATATTGATGAAAACAGTGCAAGTAACAAACCAGAAATCTCTCCTGGAAATCAGCCCAAGCCTCTGTGCCCACCTAAGGATCTGGGACTTCCTCCAAACGCACTACCCTTCCTGTTACTCTTCTGGCTCTTTTAATAGCCCTTCCTTTTGAACAGGTGTTCATTAGAGAGGGAAGGAAAGGAAAGAAATGGAAAGGCTTTTTAATTCCCTGTTTCCTGGTGACAGAAGCTGTATGCATATTGGTTATACAGACTTATAAAGAACAGCTCCAATATTTATTTTCATAATATATTATGCAGTTCTTGTTTTAATTCCCTTTTAATATAAAGTTTTGTTCAACCGTATAATGCAACTTTCTTAGTATTCTTTTTTTATAAATTAGCTTTTTTTTTTAATTGCAGGTTGACGGTATGTTTTACTTAGGTAAAAATCCATAGGATTAAATTACTTTCTCCATGTCAAAGGAAGTCTAAAAAAATAATTTAAAGTTTTCATATTGCTTCAGTCAGCATGAATTCAATCATCATCAATGATGATGTGTTTTCAGTCTCGATTTTTTCCACAGCAAGTGGAAAGCTGCACTCTACCACTTTGTAATAAGTGCTACAATTTGGAAAGAAGTTCATGGAAAGAAGTCCTGAATTTTAGCCATTTTTTTTGCACAACATATATGCCACACGTCTGTGAATTAAAAGTCTATTTCTCCTCTGTTAGAAATTAAAATTTGGCATCTTTTGAGAAAATTTGATAAATAAATAAACTTCACAGTATAATAAGTAATCTGAAGTAGGGTATGAAACACGGTGAAGGTGACTTTTAGCACTACAAGTGTAGTTACTTGATAGTATACATATATGTACAATTACAGAAATAAATAGATTGTCAAATCAATGTTAAGTCATTCCAACAACCTGTATTTTATAATTCTTATTATTCTTGACATTTTTCTAAATTACTCTTTTTTTGTGGATTCAAATTTTCATGTATTTGTACAAAAAGGCTGAGTAAGTGTACGGACATCAAGTCAGATAGGTGAGATGTTTAGTCACTAGTTCATTGCCTGTTAGACACTTCACTGTATTTTTAGTGCTAAAGATCACTTACGCACTCTTATGAGTGTATTATGATGCTGTCCTGTAATTTAGCTTTTGTTGCACTTCTGCTTATGTGGAAAATTAAAATGGATGGTGCCAGCACAATTTCTGAATTGTTGTCAGTTTCCACTTTCTCTTCGCTGTGTGGTTTAGGTTTACTTAAATTCTCACAACTTATATTCAACATGTAATGAACACTCTTAGACTACACGGGATCTGACTTACCAGGTGCAAGATGTGACACTGGAGGCTCTTTCTTTGTTCATCCATACTACTGCTGTTAAGACTTTCCTGTGAATTCCAGGCAGGGTATAGAGCAATTGGGAATTGTACTGCCTTGAGTTCCTTGAGTTCTTGTTTTCAGTGGCTTTAAGTGATGCTGTCATTACAGAAATGTGTTTGCACGTGTGTATGAGTCTATGTCTGCAAGTAGGCATTGATGTAATATGCCTGGTTATAGGGAATTTTAGACAATTTGTAGTTTGACTACAAATTTGTAGTGGATTGTTCTCAGTTGTGGAGATTACAGCCCATGTTGGGTTATTGGAATACAAAAGGTCTACTTCGTCTTTGTGATGAGGTATATCTTCCTAGATCTCTAGTTTTGAATCAACATAGGAATCCATTCTTAAAGGCAGCTTCTTTACTCTCCATGTGAAACTGGACTACCTCTCAGTTATTGGTTTTTTGTATGTCACTCACTGGTATGTTGTGTAAAACATACTGTTTAAATACAGGATGCTTATTTGTAAGAAAGACAGTTTAAGAAGTAGACTTATCATAAATCTGATATAACCAGTAATCTATAATGTTCTTATAGTTTATGAGACTAATTTAATTTCTTGTGATTTGTTTTGCCAGAAATATATCATACTTGGTACACACAGTCCAGATTTGTTTCTTCCGGTAGAATTTTTTTATGCCATAAAATTAGGAAACTTCATATTAGAGATGCAAGAAATCCTTTCAACAGTTGTTTACAGAAGTGCTTCCATGGAATGCATATCACTCAGTTTAGTGAAGGTCCAAAACAGTTTTGCTGCTATTTTTTTTCTTTAAAACAGTCAAAACGCCTTAGAAAATAATATCCATGTCTCATTGGATATATACATTTTCTTTCCCTTTCTTTTTTAACCCTTTAAAATCTTTTGGGTTCCCAGTTTACATCTGTCCTTGCTATACTCTTGTAGGATTGAAATTTAAGAGGCATGTCAAGGCTCACTGAGTCATAGCTGGAGCACATCTACTTCAAGAAGTAAGCTCAGGTTAGTGACCAGCAGAAGACATATGTCCTGCTGGGAAATGCAGTTCCCTCCACTTATTACAATAATGTTGTTATCAGACAGATCACATGCCACAGGTCTTGCTAACTATGTAGCTCGGGCTATATTTCTTCTTATCTAGTGTCAGTTTTTTATTTGTTTGCAAGATGACCTGCATTGTCTAAAGCTCAAAATTTGAAACACACCAAGTCTCCTGTGAGCTGCCTTGAATTTGTGTAGAGTTCAGTTCAAACCTTAGGAAACTGAAATTGAAAAGTTTCTAAAACCCTGTTTGCCTTGGTGATTTCCCTAAGCCAAATGCAACACTCTTCTGCATTGTTTCTATGCTACACTGTGATTTACTTTTCTCAGGTGGTATGAAAAGCTGTGCTTTATGTGTTTAGATATTAGAAAATATAGAGAATCTGCAATTTGGAGCATGTACTTTAAAGGCTGAAGGTTGAGATAGAAAGTTCAGACAGTGTTGAGTGCATGGTTTTAATTTCAGTCCCGTTTTTTTAGTGTATTAGTTATTATTCATAATTTTGAAGTTGCTAACTTAAGTTTTACATAAACTACAGATATCTGTTGTTAAACATTCACAAGTGTGCTTTGGATTGTACTTTTGAGTTCTGTTTGTTAAGAACTGTTTCCATCCAGATCTTTATCCAGCTGAGGTATTTTTGTATAGTGAATTCCTATTCTTTAGGATGGGCATTTATAGGATAAAATGTGATTCAGCTGGGGAGCAAAATAATTAAACCAGACTTTAATTTTTTTTTAGTTCTTGTCTTAAAAATAACATTTTGTAGTTAATACCAGATCAGACCTAAGAATCATTGATTTCCTTGTTGTTGTTTTTCCTCTTCCACATCTTTCTTAAGTGATTTTGAAAAATTCATACTGAATTCTTTGTTGTTTTAAAGATGTTTTGGAGGGAATGCAGAAACATTTGCATTACTCCACAGTACAGTATTTGCACGTAAAATATCATCCCTTTTACATACTTAGAATTAGTATTAAATATATACTTTCTCAAAGAGAATCTTTGGTCAGACTCTGTTAATGTATGCAGTTACCTCCACATTCACGTCCTGCCATGCATCCTCCTTCATCCTTCAGTTAGTCTGGACATCCTTCAGTCATCCGCATTTAGTCTTATGTAGGTCTTTAGTCTTCCTTGAACTCTTCGTAATTGTGTGATTATAAGTGGTGATTCAGGTTAATGTTAGTTAAATGTTACATCTGGTTAATTTCTGAATATTTGACATTGGTGTTACAGCATTTGTACCAGTAGTATTGCTGTTATCAGTGAGACTACTTACTTATTAAAAAGTTTGCCTGTGCTTAAGTACTTTCCTAAATAAAAACATTATTTTGTGTGTAACTGATGTGATTCCCCTTTGCTGATAGAACTACCCACCAAAGACCAAGTACCCAGGCAGTTCACAGAATCACTGAGGGTAACATCTGGTCCAACCTCCCTGCTCAGGCAGGGTCACCCTGAGTGGCTTACCCTAGGACCATGTTCAGATGACTTTTGAGTAACTCCAAGGATGGTGACTACCACCTCCCTGGGCAACTTGTACTAGTTTTCGATCATCCTCTCAGTGAAAAAGTGTTTCCCAATGTTCAGAGGGAACCTCCCGCGTTTCAGTTTGTGCCATCGCCTGCGGTC